AATGAATTAAAAGCGATTTCGGACGAGTTTCCCGTAGGCATCTTGCCAATCACCGCTACAATAGATACGGCTGCATGTGTGTACTTATATATCCATGCAGCACCGCAGCCGCTTCATACCAATCCCTTCGCTTCATAATTTACTTAGCAAATGAAGCAATACGAGCATCAGGTACGGTCGTCCATTTGTGGGCGGGCGGCGTGGTGGGCGTTCGGGTCGGTATGTTGTAGCTTGATAGGGCCCTTATAAAGGTGCCTTCTCTGGAATGCGCTACGCAGCGCCTGCTCAGAGGCGCGGAATTCCGTTCTGGCAGGCGTATTAGTCCTACTCGTCACAGACATTATCGTGCCAACTGCCTTTAAGGCTGTGTTTATTATGAGCGCGGAAGACCGCATCCCTTTACAAGTACAAACAGCTTTTTTCATCGCCTTATTCTGTGCAGCTCAGGGAGCTCTTGTTCCCCGATAAGTCCGAAAATGAAGGAATGCGTCCTAAGTTCCGTCCATAGTCGCCGGTGCAAGATTATCGAGGGATAGTCAGGGCACTAGGAATAAAAAGATAAAGGAGGATACAATTACGAAGGTGGAGCTGGGTGTCGTCGCTGATTCGTGGCGCCCTTATCCAGCATTTCCAAGTTAGGAAAGTGGGGCATTCCCTCCGGCTGCTTGCAGCGCCATCATGTAGGCAGGCAAGCTTCTGCACAATGGTCGACTGCGGACGACGTCCTTAAAGGCACGGTCTGCTATTGAGGGCATTGGTAGCGGTTTTGAAATTCGGAAGAAAAGCTGCCAAGGGTCTCGCCATTGAACAGCAAAAGGGAAACTCGAAATCCCCTCTCAAAGGACCACTATAGTCTCCAGCAACTGGCCGAGTACGAGGCGTAAAGCATCACTCGCTGGGGCAAATCCAGTCAGTTGGTTCGTTTTAATGAGCGCTAAGCTTCCCCCCTTTCCTCCCTCCCTCGAGGGACAATGAAGCTTTTATATCATAATGCATAGCCGTTTTCCAGCATCGTTTTTTCCGCTGCAACGCAGACTTCAAAGGCGTAGTTTGGAGGCGAAGTTACTGGGGAAAAGGAACAGGACGGCTTGACTGAAGCCCATTAGCGCCCTAGTCCCTTTATCTTATTATTTTCCCTGCGAAGTCGGTATCAAGTCGTCAAGTGAGGGACACTTCACCTGTCCCACACAATTTCCCAGATTGTCATCGGTCATCATGGACCGTTCCTCCAATATACCAGTGGTGCCACTGATATGTTTAGACAGAAGTGGGGTAATCAAACGTTAACTAGTTCATAAGACAATTTTCAGTGAAGTGACATTTGAAAACGTAGAGGAGCTTACCGAGGAAGGCCTACCATTCTTGCTGTTCTTCCGCGATCCCAAACAAAGAGACCTGGACAAAATGTTCACCGAGCAGGTAATTTTTCCTACGCAGTTCTTTTCGTTTATTCGTTTACTCCTTGTTACAGTTTAAGCGTACTTGAGTAGCTCTGACACCACCACATTGTATATTGATCAGATGATCAGGACTTTGACTTGTAATTCTGTTCCAACATTTTGACCGTCGAACCTTTTTAAAACCCTACATCAAATTGGTTTCACGTAAATGGTCGTGAGCGTTCAGGCGCGAATCAACGCGCTTCCATCAATCCGCTTTTAGCCGACGGCAAAAAGTTTGCTCATCCACTCAAACATCTTGGAAAAACTATGAAGGTATCCATGTCTGACTTTCAGTGAACTGAGTGTTGCGTGAGGGACTGTCTGTCTTTGGTAGAGGATGGGATGTTCTTCGGGGCTACAATAAAGACGGCGCAGTTGGGTTCTGGATCTTGGGCTAGCAAAATCGTGAGAATAGGGCTTTATGGTTTTCAATTCGCCCTTCAAACTGTTCGAGGGCGAGTGGACGAGCAGTTACAAAGGGTCATTTCTCCTCAGACAGTGCTGGACCCTTCTCAAGAACAGAAAGAGAACGAGCCCACTTACAAGGAGTGTAGAAATGATTTCTCTCTGGCTCCCACGTCCCCCCCCCCCCCCTCCCTCACCCTTATTTCCCTTCTTTATGATCAGCGTTCATGGCTCCTTCAAGCTCAATCAGACATTATAATTCAACTGGTAGTGAATCTCTTAAATGAAGAATGATTCCCATTCCTTTACCGGTACGCTTAGAGGACGTCTCTAAAAGTTCAACTTTTGAAAACGTCGGATTGCACTTGACATTCATTTAAGGATCTTCCGGTTCTTGCAATCGACTCTTTCCAACACATGTACCTTTTCCCGGATATGTCACAGCTGACCGTTCCAGGAAAGTTGAGAGAGGTAAGTTGCCAACCCTTATGTGTTTCAAACTGAGACTTCTGGCAGCGGACAAGACAGGTTGCAAGTACAGCACATGTCTCCTTTTTAGTTTCGTGATCGGACCTCACTCCGGGAAACTGCAAAGAGTTTCCCATGAGAACTTCTTGACCAGCACACATCAGATCGAACTCTAGCCAAGTTCAAGGCCGAAAATGGAATTACTGACGAAGATTTGGAGGACAATCGCGAAGCAGTAAGTGTTTGCAGCCTTCCGTTATTCGAACTTCGGATATGTTCTTCATGAACCCCCCCCCCTCGCCTTGCTACTTAAAAAGGCATTATGGTGAACCGGTCGCTCTGTGCATCCCCCCGACCCCCTTGATTCAAAGTCCGACTTCATCTGACTTTTGCTCCAGCTACTCAGTTATAACTACGTATAACTACAGATCCATGTCAAGAGGAGGATTGGAAGTAGTTACAGGTGGCGCGCTTACCACTCGTTCCCGCGGGTTTGGGTTGAAATCCCGGGGCGATTCCAGCCCAGGCAAGCCTTCTACTCTCCGGGGACAGCAAATTTGTACCATATTCGTCTGGTAGGATAAAACGCTGACTTGTGCGTCGGCTGGCCTTCGAATCATGTATATGTAGGCACAGCATTCAATAAGCCACTACGATTCTGGATGGAAGTAGAATGCGTGCCGCGTCCCACAAAGGGGGACTTCGATGCAAGACGGCGAAGACCATTATGACTTGCATGGTCCGTGACAGAACCTCGAAGACCACTGCTTGGAATCGCACAAAAAATCTTCAATTAGTGTCGCGCTACGCCTTGTTGTGAAACTTTTTTCACAGTAAAGTTGGTATGATCGCAATTCGGTGGGACGTTGAATGAGCCTACAGAGCGCTGCGTTTTCTATCATGCTAAAGCAGGGCACATGTGTGTTTGGCAATCCCCATCGCGGGATTGTGGAAAACTGAAAAATGTGGTAGGAAGATGCGAAAGCTCATTAACTGTGTAGGTAAGATGTGGTATGGGGAAGGCGGCTCGTACCAGAGAATGAATTTTTGATGGGAGACCGTCGTATTTGCAGAATTTTTCTCCATTAGCAGGCGCGTCCTGACGGGTTCATCTAGAAAACAAGCAGGAGTAGAAAACACCATGGGGTTCTTTCCAGAACCCCTCGTATCCCCTTTCCCCCTCCGAATTGTGACGATATTGACTGTACGCAGCGCAGGAATGAATCGCCAAAAGTGGACGAAATAATGCGATAACGTGAGATTGAACACTGAAGGATCGAATTTATTCTTTTTCAGGGAGGAATGCCAGCGGCCAAACCAGGCGACACAACACCGCCACCATCAGTTTTCAAGCAGCTGAAACCAAGTGAAAAACGATACTCATTATTGCAGAAGACAGAATTATAACGTTAGCAAAATTAGTTTTTCAAATGGCGTCCATTTTGAGAATGATTTTATTTCCCTCAGTCTGTGAAAGAATTCGA